TTGGATATGTTATATTACACACCCATTGGAACAACTTTCATGAAGAATGTGGCCTCATCCGAGCTATGTAGGTTGCTGAAACAAAGCTTGCAATATGACCTACGAAACTGGGCTGGCAGGGGACTGTAGCCAAAATTGAGTTTGTCTTTAAGCTCTTCATCCATTCATCCAAATTAGGCCCTAACATGCATGGATTGCATCATTTACTATCCAAAGCCATCATTATTACCTAAAGCTCAATGAACTGAAAGATAAACACAAAAAGGATTAAAAGCACAAGTTTAACTCAAAAACATAACCAAATCATAAGCTAGAAGGGTACAAAATGATATGTAAATATGCACCGATCAAGACATCCTCACAATTTACCTATCCATCTCAGCTACAGCAGTTAGCTCGGTGCTCATCAGACCACAAGAAGGCGTTGAGCATCCGGTGCATTACGTTAGCAAGGCATTACAGGATGCTGAGGTTCGGTACCCATTCATCGAGAAGCTGGCTTTTTCCTTAGTAGTGTCCGCCAGACGCCTGAGACCTTATTTCCAGGCACATACCATTCATGTCCTCACCAACCAACCACTCAGACAAGTATTGCAGAAGCCAGAGACTTCTGGCAGGCTAGTCAAGTGGGCTATCGAACTTGGTGAATTTGATATCCACTACAAGCCTCGCCCGGCTACCAAAGGCCAGGCAGTCGCAGACTTCATCTCTGAGTTCACAGAACCCCAAGCTTTGGCCACCCTCCAGGTCATACCTACTGAACCCACTCCTCCCTCGAACTTGGTCCATGTCGCTAGCAATGGCACCCTCAACCTTACTCAGCCCTTGTGGACATTGTACGTCGATGGCTCCTCCAATGCCTAGGGATGTGGGGCCGGCCTTGTTCTTATCTCCCCAGATAAGGTTGTCCTTGAGTACGCCCTCCGCTTCCAATTCCATGCCTCAAATAATGCAGCCGAGTATGAAGCACTCCTAGCTGGCCTTCGGCTAGCCAAGGAGATGGGCGCTAAGCAAATCCAGATATTCAGTGACTCCAAGCTCGTTGTTCATCAGGTTAACCAGGACTTCATCGCCAAGGACATCTCTATGACAGCATACCTTCAACATAGCCGCCACATGTTGACTACTTTTGATGCTTATCTCATCAGCCAGGTACCACGTTCGGAGAACAGCCATGCCGATGCTTTGGCTAGGCTAGCCTCGGCCTTGGATCAGGGCAGCGGCCGAAGCATCCACATCGAGTTCCTGGATCGCCCCAGCACACAAACCCCACTCATCTGCACCATTGATCACAGCCCTACTTGGATGGACCCCATCCTTCAATTCTTGCAAAACCAGACACTACCTGCTGATCCTGCTAAGGCACGGCGTGTTCGGTATCGCTCCACTCGATACCTAATCATCAATGGCTCTCTATATAGGCGTGGCTTTAGCCTTCCCTACCTTCGATGTCTTACTCCAGAAGAAGGTAATTATGTTCTTCGAGAGATCCATGAAGGCATCTGCGGCAATCATTCAGGCGCTCGATCGCTAGCACATAAGGCCATCAGGCAAGGATACTTCTGGCCCTCACTTCACACTGATGCCCAGGCCTTCACCCAGAAGTGCGATAAGTGTCAACGATTTGCCAACATTCCACAACTTCCAGCTGAACCATTGACAGCCATGGTCAGTCCTTGGCCATTTGCCCAATGGGGACTTGACCTCATTGGACCTATGCCTGAGGGCAAGGGCCAGGTCAAGTACGCAGTTGTTGCCGTAGACTACTTTACCAAGTGGGCTGAAGCCGAGGCCTTAGCTACCATCACGGCAGCCCGCATCGAAACTTTCGTTTGGCAAAATATTGTATGTCGCTTCGGCATCCCCCAAACCATCGTCACGGACAATGGCCGGCAATTTGACAACGCAAAGTTCAAACAATTTTGTTCCAACCTTAAGATACGCCTTTGCTTCGCCTCCCCAGCCCATCCCCAGTCCAATGGCCAGGTCGAAGCTGTGAACAAAATAATCAAGAAGACCCTGAAGACCAAGCTTGACAAAGCCAAGGGTTGTTGGCCAGAACTACTCCCAGAGGTGCTCTGGTCCTACCGCACTACCTTCCGTACCTCCACTGGAGAAACACCGTTCTCTCTTTCATTTGGTACCGAAGCCGTGGCCCCAGTGGAAATTGGCCAGCCCACATACCGAACCTCCACTTATAATGCCGAGGCCAATGACGAGCAGTTAGCCCTGAACCTCGACCTCATTGACGAGCTTCGTGACTAATCCAACATGCTCAATGTCGCGTACAAGCAGCGCATCGCCAAGTACTATGACTCCCGAGTCAAACCCCGTGCCTTCAAAATGGGGGACTGGGTCATGCGCAAGGTTTCTTTGGCCACCAAAGATTCTACTGAAGGTACCTTGGGCCCAACATGGGAAGGCCCCTACGAGATTACCAAAGTCTGCCGCCCTGGCACTTATCAGCTTCGTGATCCCAAGGGCAAGACTTTGCCTCATCCTTGGAACGCTGATCACCTCAAGTACTACTATAAGTAAGCACACCTAGATTTTGGTTTGGAGCCATGACTCGACCATATCTTGTACCTTTTTGCCTTTCGGCACTTATCTAATGAAATGGCCGACCCTGGCTACTTTTTATCAATCACATGATTATCATTTTGCTAGCACAATCGATATCAAATGACAACAAGTCTAATATCATAGCACATCAAAATAACCTTGCTCCAAGCAAGGCAAATGTCCATACATAGCATAAATAAACATCAAGTTCTAAAAATAGCTAGGGTACATAAGGAAGGCAACGCCTTCAAGGCTAGGTGGACGCGGCATCGGCAGGAGCCGGCTCTGACTCCGTAGCGGCAGCAGTGGCATCAATAGTGGGACAAGGGATGACAACCGGGTCGTGAGCGATGCCCTGGCACTGAGCGTGCAGAGTACGGCAACAGTCGCAAGTTTGGGTCATCGCCTACTTGCGAAGTCCCATGAGGTAGAGGTGCTGAAAGGTCAGTTGACGGCGGAGCGAAGTATGGTTGAGGAGTGTCAGACTGCTATAAAAAGCTTGAAAAGGGAAAGGTCAAGGATAGTGGAGGTGAATCGACACCAACTAGAAGTATTGCGGGACGAGAATAGAAACCTATCAAAGATGGTAGAGTTGTACTCTCGCGACATGCGAAAACAGCTGGAAGACCTAGACCGACCGGGTAAACGCAAGCAAGCAGATCGTGAGAGTAGTTACGCTCAAGCTAAGATTGCGATCTTTGGGAGCTCAAGTGATGAGCCCCAAGAAGCTGTGCGTGAAGCCCCGGAAGAGGACAGCCAGAGGGCCAAACTCAAAGCTCCAATGGTCGAGACACCAAGCACCGAGAAGAAATGATTTCCTACTGCATTATTGTTGTTTTTATTTTATTTTGTTGTTTTTGTATTTTCGTTATTTTGTTTCGGAAATAAAAGAGTAAGGTTGCAGAAAGAAAAAGAAAAAGAAAAAGAAAACAAAGACGACAAACGGAAAAGAAAACACATTTCCCTAACTAAAATAAGATAAAGATGATAGCCGAAAGGGAAAAGCAAAAACACAAAGCTCTAGAAAATGAAAGTAACGGGAAAAAAAACATTAAACACCAGAAAACACGGAAAAAAGAAAAGTAAAGCGAAAGTAAAGGTGCTCCCCCTTGAAGCGATTAGGTCGAGAATGCCCGGGAAATCTGAAATGGTGTTGGCTCTCTCTCATCAGCATATGTCTATTTAAACCACACCTCTGCAAGCGGATGATACCCAGCATTTATTCCTGCAAACTCAAGGAAAAACATCAAAAAATTCAGAA